GATCGTCATTGCTTTTATGTTTTTTGAGGTTCAGTAATATTTCGTAAGTATTACCTGAGAAAAAAAATTTAAGTAATAAAAATAAAAATATTTTAGGTGGAATCATTGCTTTATTTTGAAATGTTATTATGAGAAAGATTACATGCAAGAATATCTAAATTACGTTCGGCAAAATCAAATGACGATCAATAACTGTGGGGTAATTGTAAGTATCAAACAGATTGTTCCCGCAATTTGATGCGTCTAATGCCGATAATTTTGACTTTGGCTTGAAGCAGGTATTTATGTATGATTCCTACCGTTGAATTATTTTCAATCTGGAATGAATGTTTGGACTACCAATAAATTCAAAAAAATCAATCTAAAATTAAAATGAAAATTTTAAAAAATCTACAATGAAAAAAAAAGTGAATAACGATTTTTTTTTGTTTTAGGTTTGTTTTTTTCCTTTTTTTTCATTTTGCTTTTGAAATGCAATCATAAAAGGAATTTCGGTTCAATACTTTTTGGTATGAAAGTGAAAAAAAAATTTTGAGTAAGTGTAGAAGATGAAAAGAAAATGAAATGGAATGTTAAAAAAGAATAGAAAAAAGGAAAGAAAATTAAAGGATTTAAAGAGTTAAAAGGTTCGATGAAGAAAAAATAATTTTGAAAAATTAGTGATTCAAATAATGTAAACTATCATTTGTCAAACAATTATTGTACTAGACACTCTAGTTGTAGTTGTGTTTCTTAAAAAAAATTATTGCAATTCGTAATTTATAGTTTGAAATTTTTGAGTTTTTATCAATTTGTAAATTATTTTCATAAAAAAAAATATTTCTGTGCATGTATACTAAATTAAATACAAAATACATACAAATTTAGAGGAGAGATTTGTTTTGTTTACATTGTTAAATTTTGTTTTTTCGAAAACTTAATGTTTCGCAATAAGATTCGTAAACAAATGTCAAGTAAATAAAAAGTATCGAAAAATATGCGATAGTAGCATTCTATAGTATCACTTTTTCTACTTTTGAATGTACTAAAATTTGCGATTATTCGATTTACATATTGTCAAAATGTTAAATGCAAAAATTATTTAGCGAAAGTAGCATTAATATTAAACTACCTTTAAACTATTTTTTAAAATGTTAGAGAACAACCTTAAATCTTTAAAAATACAAAAATTTTTAGTTAGCATCACATAAAATTAGCATAAAACATTCTATATATACACATAAAATTTCTCAAATTTCCAGATAAATTTAGAAAATAATTTATAGTATGGTTGCGATTACTTGGAAAATTATAAAATTATTTAATAATAATTACTATATATTTGAAAGTATTTATGTATATGTATAAAATTTGTATAGATATACTTAATAACTATTCTACAATATATTATAAGACATTAATAATTATCTGCAATACTATAAATTTGTAGAAAACTTTATATTATTTAAAATTTAATGCGGATATTGGTTAATTCAATTTCTTAATTCAAAAAGTGTAATGATACTTTTGTTGAAGTGATTTCTATTTGTACATACATACATATATACTTATAGACCTACATATTAATTCTAGTATTATATAATTAATAATTTTAAGATATTTTATTATAATTGTGAAATGATTTCATTTTAGATATCCTCTTTAAGGATATTTTTTTGGATTTAATAAAGTCAATAACTAAATGCGTTAAGATATCACTTTATAAAATGTAATTGATAGGATTATTATGCATACATATTAGGTATACATATATATGTATGCATATGTAGATGATAAATGCTCTCATTAGTAAATTTGTGGTTGAAAAAGATTATGGTGATTAAGAGTAATACCGCTATCACATGTACTATATAATATCTATTTTATTGGAAAATATTGTAAATATTAACGGTTTAAATTTTCTATTCCACAATTTTGCTTTTCTATGAAATTTTATATTGGTTATTTTCGTATTGAAATCCTTTAAAATCACATATTTTTGTTTTGGATAGTAGTTTGATAGGGGAGAACGGTGTAGTACTAAATATAAACGACTCCTTATAGAAGATTTTGCCGGACCTCTTGGATCTGTAACTGGTGAGAACAACATGCTGAAATAAAAGACTACCTGCCCAGCAAAGGACTAAGTTTCGAGCTAGTTGCGCTTGAAATTACAACGCCATATTCGTGGAGACTGACTAAAGAGGCATACATATCAAATAACCAAAAATAGTGCAACACAACGGGATGTCAATAGACCAAGTAGCTGTCGGCTAACAAAGAATTTTCTGACGGGGCACTGTTCAATAAACAATTTGTTTTTCTTTTCTATTTGAGACAAAAAAAAGAAAAAGGAATGCAAAAGTATATTGTACAAATGTTCTAAACAAATCATCAAATATTCAAAAACATGTATTAACAAAATCAAATTCATATACACACATACTTACATTTGCAATTATTTGCATACATAGTCACCGAAATTAGCAAGCACCTCTGTATTACCAGAATATGGACACACACAAGAAACTTTTATGAACAAATTATGACACAGTCTCCTTATGCCTAAATATATGCAATATAATTACATCTATTGAAAATTTCTTTTTGTCGCCCTTTCGTGCAATGTTTTTGAAGTTGAACAAAAATTTCTAAAAAAAAAAAAAATTGTTAAAAAAATATCAGATGTACAAAATCATGTGCCACGCTGATTGGATTTTTTTTTATTTTATTTTCATGCTTATTTTTTTGTTTGTTATGTATATCCCTTCATGTCCTTTCGACGATAATTCCCCGAAGTCATATGATGAAATCTTATTCAGCTGATTAAAAATGGAATAAAATCTAAAAAAATTTTATAAATGTGGTAACACTCTCTAGTTTTAAAATAATGTTGCACAAAGTAGCGAAGGAAGAGAAGCAAGCGAAGAAATTTTCAGAAAATTTTACAAAAATTTTTTTTTATATATTGAGCGCGCATGTTCTCTACAATGTTGTTGGAAAAAAAATATTTTTTTTATACCAAAATAATTTTTTAATTATTTCTCTTTTGTTTTATTTTCTCTCTCAAAACTGAGTTGAAAAAAATCGTTGAGTTATAAATGTAATCGAACTTACATACATTTTACGACGAATACCTAGGTCAGTAATAATTGTGTGTCAGTGGGTGAAATATATGCGAATGAGACAAAGAAACTATGGAAGAAAAGAACTTTTTCAAAGAAAATTTGAAATATTTTATTTAAAGCAGCATACAGATTTCTATATAAATATTACTCGAATATAAAAATTTTAATAAAATTCCATTTTTATAAGGATTTATTGTAAAACTATTGGGTTCCATGAGAGGCTAATATTTTCTGCTGACATTCGCTCTCTATTTGGAGCTTTTATGATTTTATTTTTGCATTATGCTCGAAACCTTTATCATTAAAATTTTTCCTATATATGTTCTTTTTAATTTGTTCTGCTTTTGAATTTTTTATTTTCCAATAAATTAATGAAATATTAAAGAAATGTGCAATAACCCGGCCAAAAATTTTCAACAATAAATTTAAAAAAAAAAATTTTTTTTTTGGTGAAGCATGCGCTTCACAAAGAGAAATATAAAAAAATTGTTGAAATTGCCGAAGAGAGAGGAGTTTTTGGAAAGAAAATTTGAGACTGATTAATTTATTTAAATAGCTCTTATTTAAGAGAAATATAACAAGGTTGTACAAATGATTGCAAAGTTATTCTAAAACTGTAAAGATTCTAATAATATTCGAATTAAATATGAGGAATTTTAGAATTATTTAATTTGAAATAAAATAAATTTTAAAACAAAAATTTGTTACACAAATCGAATAAGAGAAACAATATAAACCATCAAATAGCTCTAATACATTAAAGTGGCGAGTCCTAATACGTTTTGCAGCGAATTATCTATAATTAAATAACAATTTAATAATACGAATAATAAGAAATGTAGATACTTATTTTTACAAAATTTTAAATGGGGAGATGCTAAATGTTCATTTTGTTTGCGAGTACATATTTATGAAATTTTATAAGCATTTTCTGAACCCATTTAACCATCTGATGGTCCATTTAATTTTAAGAGAAAATCGAAGTTATTACTAAATTATCAATCAATTTTTGTTCAGCAAAATTTATAAAATAAAAAAATTTTTCAACAACGAAAAATTTTCAAAAAAAAAAAATTTCGTTTTCTTTTTTTCTTCTTCTGACACTTTACTGTTAATAACTGTGTTTGTTTTTTTCTTTTTTATTTTATTTTCTTTCTCTTTCTAACACAAGAAAATTCTTAATGATTCCCGACAATTTTTCAATATTTTTATACTTTCTTCTTCAAGTTTTATTTGTTTTTTTTTTTTTGTTCTTCTGTTATCCCTTATCAACAATTCTGTCATAATCATGGGAAAAAATATAATAATAAAGAAAACAGAAAAAAAAAATATTTTTTTTTTCAAGTTTTCAAAACTTAATAGATTTAGTATCGCGATTATATTCGTGGAAATCATATCGCCCGTGAGAACGAAATTATTATCGTTATTTCGTATATATTGAATACATTATATAGTAAAATAGAAAAAAAAATTCAAGAACAAAAAAAAAAAGAAAATAAATAATGGAAAATTAAAGTGAGAAAAATATAAAGAAAAAATTTTTAAATTAAAATTTTAATGCAAATAATTTTTATGAGAAAAAAAAATTGTGCACAGGATACTTATTAAATATTGTAATTTGAGTACTGCCCCCGAATATATGCAATTTTTTTCTCTCTCAAAATTTTAAAAAACAAATGAATTTGAAATCAATATCAAATGGAAAATTCTTAAATTTTGAATAAAAGTGTTTTTAAAAATAGAAAATTTATTAAATTTCGGATTATAAGAATTTGAGATTTTACAAAAAAAAAAATAAAGAACTTTAAATTTTTTGAATATTAAAACCTTTTATTCTATTTCTGGTTCAGACACCTACTTTTATAGCTAATTTGCTTCAAAGATAATCGAATACTAATTTCTATTGTGATTTTAAATATTAAAAATTAAAAAATAATTTCAAATTATTTTTTGTGCTCGCGGCCTATACTAAATATTATTGAAATTTCTTTTTGTACTTCTCGGCTCTGTGTAGAAAAAATTTATTGAATCTCAAAATTACAAACACATATTGATTTATTTAAAAAAAAAAATCACTAAAAATAAATGGTTATAAATAAAAAAAATAAATTTATGAATTTCAAAGAAAAAATTCCTAAAAAGGATAAATTACACATGAAAATAATAAAAACAAAAACACTAAATAGAAAAATATAAAAAAAAAAAGTAAATTTCGGGTGTGTATTCTTTGTAAATTATTTGTGTAAAAAAAAAACTTTTGTAAATCTATGTAAAAAAAAATTTCTAATTATTTTTCTGTTTTTTTTATATAATTAAAAATACACAACAGATATACATATAATACAAGTATAAATATATATGTACAGTTTAATATTTAACCCATATATTTAAAAACAAAGAGAAAAAATATTGTAAAAAAAAAATTAAAAAAAAAATTATAGAGGAATTTTTCTATAAAACACAAAAAAATAAATAAATAAATAAAACCTATAGAATTAAAAAAAAGGATAAGGTTTGCAACATAAAACAAAAAAAAATATTTAACGACGACAACGACGACAATAACACAAAAAAAATATATATATAGGAACAGAAGAAAATAATAACAACAATAATGAGAAAAATGTTGGGACAATAATGAGAAACACACAAAAAATTCGTTAAAATTAGTTATAAAAAAAAAAAAAACAGATATTACTATTAAAAGGGAAGAAGTTTTGGGGGCGGGAGTGGTGAAATGAAAAATTTTTGGGTTTAATTAAGGAAACATTTAATTAAAAAGTAAAAAAACAACAAAAAAAACAGCAAAAACCATTAACGTACCTTTAAATTTTCCTATGTTAAACAGAAAAAGCAAAAAAAAAAAAAAAATAAGGAGGAAAAGTGAAACAAAACAAAAAACACAAGGACGTGAAAAAAAATTGGTTTATTTTTGATTTTTTTTTTGTGTTACTAAAAAAAAATCCTCATTCTATTTTATATTTTATTAAAATAAATCAGAAAAAAAAACAACAGAAAAAATAAAACATAAACAACGAAGGAACGTGTAATTTTTTATCTTTTTCACCTACCTACCCACATAAAAAATCTACATATTCTTACATTTTATATACAAACATTATTTATATAGTCAACTCACGCACAAACAAAGGAATATTTAGAAAAATAGTACCCCGAGAAACGTTGAAAAAAAAATTAAATAAAAAACAAAAATATTCCGGTTAAAATTAAAAAATAGAAAAAGGATACCTATACGTAAAATATCCTTACCTAGAATATCTAACCAGCTAAATTACATATACGAATAATTTATATATATATAAAAAAAATTAAAAAGAAAATCCTTTGATTTTAAGTGTTTGTTGCTTTGCTTGTTATTTAATTCTTTTCTTTTTTTTTATTCCAATTATTTCATTTTTATTTAATTCATTCTTTTTTGGTATTTATTTTTGCTGCTTGAAATACAAGAGTGATTTTGTACATGCTACATACACCTACTTATACTAAATGTCCTTTTAAAAACTGAAAACAAAAAAAATGCATCCTTGTAATTTCTACGTGATACAGAAATAAAAAAAAAATAATTATTATTTTATTTAAATCGAAATAGAAAACAAATATAAAACATAGAAATAATAACGGGCTATATGGTATACCTAAGTACAGCAGCATTATGGTGTGTAGGTAAGTGTACAAATAAAGTACATAATTTAAAGAGGGTGTATATCCATAAATATATGTATGTTTGTATTCGATTATAAAATATAAAAAATATGGTCCTTTATATTTTAAAATTTTACTTTTTTATTTTTTTTTTTTTTATATTTTAAGGATTCGTCTTTAATCTGAAATCAAAAAAGGAATACTTAATATGTAATCAATTTTTAAATCTCCTCATCTCTTTAAAATTAAGAGTTGATTTTCGAAATTTATGTAATTCTTCAAGTTGTTTGTCGGTAAAGTATACTCCTGAATCCCTACTATGTACATATTTTCAAACTAGAACTTCCTGTAAAAACCTAGACTTCATCAACGAAACTTGTAAAAATCTTTTTGATTTTATTTTAAACCATACCGAAATAAATAGAAAATTAAATTGCCCGTCAGAATTCTAACAAAATGAAATATAAATAAAAATTTGGCTTGTAATGAAAATAATATTGATTTATGGTACTTATTTTGTACTATCTTGTTAGGATATTATTGAAAATTATTTTGATTTTCAGAATAGAATTTCAAATTTTGAAACTGAATTTGTGCTAAAAAGTTTGAAACTTTTAAACAACAATCTAACATATCAAGTGTTATAAGTTATTCTTATGTATCTTCTAATTTTATTACAATATATAAATATAAAAATAAATAAGTATTCTACTCTTTAGACTTTATGGACTAAAATTTAAAAGGCAAATATAATTTTTCTGTGCAATTATAGTAAAGCGAACTAAGATAATTTTGTGTAATTAGGCTAATTCCAAATTTATTTCAGAGTGAATGCTAACACTGTAGAATACTAACTTTCATAAAATGTAGTTCTTGTATATAAAAAGACTTCTTCTAACCTTAAGAATGGCATTTTCAGAAATACCATTTATGTAAAACGTTTTAATTTTAACATCTGCACGACATGAATTATCATACAGAAAAAAATTTTAGAATGTTATATTTCGCCTTTTAAAAGATATTCCAACTATTACTTAAAATTTATAATATACTCGTAATTAAAAAAATTAATAAATATTTGAAATTTTTCTATAACCAATTTAAAAAATATTTATAATTATAATTAATCAAATTACACAAAAAATATAATTATACATGTACTTAAAGACTAATAAAAAAAAAATTTTTTTAATAATATTGTGATTTTTTATTTAATCATTTAATTTTAATTCCATTTTTTTATATATTCTTTTGGTTGAAAAATCAAATAGTATAATTATTGTCGAGTAATATCTGAGGCAATTTCATATATATTTTATAAAATATATGTAAAAAATTTAATTTTATTTTGCATATGTGCACACATTTATTTTTTTATTATTTCTAATGAAAATTGTTAATAAAATTCATTTGAAAATTATATATAATTTATATATATATATATATATTAAATAAATAAATTGACATGATTTTTAAAAAGAAAAAATTGTTTATTCTTGATTGAAATTCCAATATTATATATTTTTAATATTATTATTATTATAAATATATAATATTGCAATTAAAAAGGAAAAATAAATAAAAAAAAAATATTATTTTAATAATGAATTTTTTTTTTAATCTCCATTTAATTTTATTATGTGCATAATAATGTAAAGAATTATAATAATTAAAATTTTAAGAAATTGTGTACCCTATAGTTTTCATTAATGTAAAAAAAAATTGCTGCCACACTACTGTAGGGTAAACTACTCGAACTTGTATTCATTACACTAGGATTTGGAAAATTTTATAAGTTTTATTCCGTAAAATTAAAAATAATATTAAAAAAATTTATATTGAATCAAAATTTTTAGCTGCACAAACTGCAGCATCAAGATATTACTTTTACATTAATGAATACAAAAGTTACTGTTCCAATAATTTTGTAATACGTTACGAAAAGCTATACATTGAAGAAATACCATATATATGTTTAAATGAAGACAACTTATAATATATGAAAGTGCATATATATGAACAATAGTTAAGTACTTAATCATACAGATCCTAAATATAAAATTTAAAAAAAAACATAACCGGTACACTGTAGCAATATTTTTCTAAATTTCATACAATTGAACTTAAGATTTTTCTGATGCAGAAGAGAAATAGTAAGAATATATTAAAATAATAATTGTCTTTTCCTATATATCTATGTATGTAACATTATTTTTTTTTATGTTTCTCTTTAGTTTTTATAAAATTGTTAACCTGCTTTATTTATTCCAAATTAAAACGAACAAACAAAGAGATCCTTTAAAAGAAGGAGAACAATACACAATTGAAAAACAAATTTTCCTTTTTAAAATAATTTCAATAGAATTAAATAAATTTAATTTTTTTTATACTATACATGCAATTATTATATTGATTTGAAAATTTTCCTTTAATGAAATAACATACACGAAATAATAATATTATATAGAAAAATCCTCCTGGAACCTAGAATATTGAAAAACAAAAACAAGGAATAAACTCAAGTATTGATGACATCTACTTAATATAAGAGTACAAGGGGTTCAATCATTATTTTATTAAGTGCGTTTGCAAAACATATAAAATCACAGAAATAAATAAAATTTCTATATTAATAATATCCTGTACGTTTTTATAATAATGTTATATTGCAATATTTTTCCACGGAATCTATATTTAAGTCTTTCAATAAATGAATATAAACACATGCATTTTCGCAATATTGAATAAAATTATTTTCTAAATAATCGAACACAAATAGATCAAATAAAATATAATTTTGTCTTATACATTATAGATCTAGAAAATAGAATTAATTTTTAATTGTACTAAATGTATACAATTCACATTATTAAAAATATTTTTAATGATTTTAACACAAATTTTGGGCTAATAAGAATTTTTATCACTAATATTTTCATTTTATTGGAAGAAAACGATTTGGCATAATCCTTATAAGAAATTACCTGTAATCATTATAGGTTTTATTATACCCCCTTAGAATTATCTAAAATTATAATAATATCCAAATTGAAGAAATTCTCTAGAATTTTAATTTTCTGATTTAAGTATAATTTGAATTAAGAAAATAAAATATTATTTTGATAATAAAATTTTGGTACAGTAAAATCTAGTTAAAATGAAATATGTATTAAGTAAAATTTTGCTTGTTGTATTTTTGATTTTCAGAAATCTAACGGCATAATTAAAATGTGATTACATTCGAATTACTAATTTTTAGTAGTTTATGACATGGTGAGATAAGAGCAGAGTGCAGCAATAACGTGCTAGAATAAGATTTTGATTAACTCATTACCGACTAAATTTTCTAAATTTGTAAATTTAAATTAAAACCAATTCAATTTTACTGACTACCTCATTTTTTTTTTAACATGAACCAAATCATATAATTGCATACTTTCAGGAAGAAATATTCAATTTCGTCCTTTTACTGTAATTTAAAAGAAAAATATAATTTTATTTTCGCTTTTTTTTTGAAATTTTATTGAGAGGCTCACCGAATTTGAAATTTATTATTAAATTCATTGTTGGTTCGTTTGTTTATTTTTATGATTCAATAAATATTAAAACAATAACATCAACAACAAAAATATCAAATAAAATGAAAAGTATAAAATACCATTGAGCTACCAAATTTGATATATTGCCCGAATTTTTTCTCTTTCTTCTTATTTTAATTTTAAATACTAAACAAAAATGAAAAATTTAAGCAAATATAATAAACCAAGCAGAAAAACAAAAAAAACCCAATATAAAAAGGCTCACATAAATGTTCGTTTGCATAAGGCAACTGTGTATGAAAATGTATATATATATATATATATTTATTTAATATGTATATATTATGTAATATTCAAATATGTGTTGTTAATATAAAAAAAAAAGTGAAACCATAAGTTGAAGGACTTCCAAATTTGTTTTTTATTTATTGTTCTTTTATTATTTTTTTCTCATTTTCTTATTTATGTTGTCTTTGTTATTTTAATACCGTTTTATTTTACTTCTATCTCTTTTTATCTTATATTTAAAATTTTTTCCTTTACTGACAATATGAAAAGCTTAAAGCGAAGTATTGTTTATGTAAAAATTTTTAAAAATTTTAATGGGTGATTTTAGAAATTAAAGTGAGTTGGGATAAGTTAAAAATTGAACGCCTAAATTAATCTGTGGAAATTTTCTGAATTCCGATATATCCCGAAATTTAATATTACAATATGATGACTGTTTTGAAGCAGTCTTGAATAGTTATCAATGGGATAATTTTTAAGCACATAAAAAAACTTTAATGTTTTAATCAATTTACATTATCATTTGGAATTGTCTAACATGGAGGCTATCTGGTCTTGTAAAATTACAAACCAAAACATTTTTGGTTTCGTTCATAAAATGAATTTACAGATTAATATTCCGGGGGCCACTTCGTTAACCAAAAATTAACTTGCCAAAAGTTAAATTATAAATTTTTCAACAACAATGTGACTCTTTAAATAAATTCAAAAGATAATAGAAATTATTTTGCCCGGCTATACGCTGATCACATCAAATATTTTTTTATTTAATATTATATATTATATTGAAGTATATTTAATACAGTCAAAGTAATAATAATAATCAAAAATACAAAAATGATAATAAAAAAATATAAAAAAACAGCAAAAAAAAGAAAAATTCTTTAATATTTGCTTTTCGGCATACGTACATACACACGAATAATAAGTGCAGGGTATTGAAAGAAATTTTTTGAGAACCGTTTTATAGGTCAAAGATTGAGTGAGTTTTAGCATATTATTTTAATTTATTATTAATACAATTTCTGCTTAAATATGAAATTCAAAAATTTAATTTGATCAAACCATTTAAAATTATAACAAATTAATAAAATTTAGTAAATTTTAAAGCAATTTTCTTAGAATATTTTTTGTAGATTTGTAGTCAAAATTGTTTAAATCGACTAGGATACAAAATGAAGATATTATCCCATTTAAACCATCCAAATTTAAATTTTTAATCCGAAAAAATTTGCTTCAATGCGATCAAGTTATGGTGAGAAATATGATACTAATACTTTTTATCAAAATGGTTTTTATAAAAGCCTATCGTCATAATATATAAATATTTACTGAACGTAGTTGAAGTTTTTAATTTGAACTTTCTAATATTTATGACGGATCTATTTTTAATATAATTTCTAAAATATTATTTCAAATAGAACCATTTTAATTTTATACCTAATCAAATTGATAAGTGTGAGAATCTACTTACATAAAGAGTTGTTATCCCTGAATACCCTAAACTTTTTGAGCTACTACTGAAATTATATACTCCTAATATTTATTGAAGCATACATATATATATACATATACTTAAAAACTGCGAGGAAAATAAATATAAAATAAATTTTTTTTATGAAATATACATAAATATAAATATTATATATAATAAATAAAAGGATAAAGAGAGAAAAAAATAAACGTAAACGATGGGTTTTATAAATATTCAAGACAACAAGAATATAATTTTTATATTATATAAATAAATGTATGTATATATATATATATGCAAATATAAAATGTAAACACATACAATAATAATAATATTATATAAATTGAATATTATTATTTGTAGCTTTGCTTATGTAATAAATGTTATTAGAATTTATATATTATATCTAAATTTTGTACATTACATATTTAATAATAATATCAACATAATATTTAACAAAAATAATATTTACAAAAAATAAACAAAATTGAATTTCTATGTTCATTTTAAGTAAGCACATAGAACATATTAGTAAACCCACCTTTTAAAAAATAAAAAAGAAATTTAACAGACTGAAACTATTAGGACACCTCTTAACCTTTTTAATAATGTTTTAATTAACTAAATTTATAATTTTTAGATGCTTCTTTACAATGGAGATTTTGAATACAATGGAGATTTTTTTTTCGCACTTAAATCTTAAAAATCAGATCTAAAGAACTAACTAGTTGACTTTTGCAGTACTTAAAAAAAAAAAATTAAAAATGCTTCAGAACTAATCTAAAGCATGCTACGAGTTTCGAACGTGCTTTTTTTGTATAGAATTATTTCACATTTGCCGATTTTGTAGTTTTGATTTATCGAATTTATCAATTTAATTTAGAATTGAATTTTCTAAAAACCCCAATATTTTAAAATATTTAAGAATACAATTGCTAAAATTTTAAAAAATTTCAAATATTTACAATAACTTAAAACTAATAAACTTAAATAATGTATAGATTAATGTACATTTTTGTATTATTATACTTATATTTACACTCTAGTTATTCTTAAGTTAAACACAAGTTATTCTTAAAAACCAAAAATTAAAAAGTTATTTTAAGAAATATAAACTAATAATGGTGTGTTAAAAAAAAAACTGTTTGATAAAACATTAAAATTTATGTGTTCCACATAAGTAATGAGCTTAGTCAGCAATCCATATTTGTAGAACAAACCAGATTGAATGATGCATGAGCTACTTTTATTCGATTCAAGTAATATATTCTAATAATTTTGAGCTTTAATATTTTTCAAGATGAAATTCCAATAAGTTTTCCAATATATTTATTCAGATAATTCTATAAGTTTTCTCAATGTTTTTATTTATTTATAGGATTACTTCCTTTTTTTTAAATTCTGGTGTATAAATTTAGTAACTTTTCAGTCAGAATTAAAGTCCAATGATTCGAATCCCATCAAATATTAAAAATAACCTAAAATGTAGAATGATTTATTATAAGAAATTAATTTAAAAATTTTTTACTCGTTATATTGATAATAATATGTTCGATTTGAAGAATAATATTGGAGTAAATGAAATAATCTCGAATACCAATACAATTTTCCGCATTCCCTCTATACAACTCTATGGCTATATTCAATTACTCCAATTATTTTAAAATAATTTTTTAATAAACTAAATTTTATATTATTTCGAAATAATTTATTTATTTTCAATATTATTATTTTATATAGGTATATTTTGTCAACACGTTTAACAGAAATAAATTAATAAAAAAATATCATCTGAAATAATTAATTTTTGTGTTAAAATTGGTCTAATATCAGCCAATATATAGAATGTCAATAAAACAATTATGAATTGAACCGGATTTAAAAAAAAAACACCAAAAACCAATATAAAAAATCGGTTTGCATTTGAAAGTTTACCGAATAAAAACACAATTTAATTGATTCATTTTATTTAGTTTTAATTAGAATAATAAAATAAATTAAATAATTTATAAAATACCTCAAAAAATGATATTCAATATATAAAAACAATTTTGTTAAAATAAATAAAGAAACTAAAATCTAAAAATTGTGTGTGTATGAAAAAAAATAAATTTATAATACAAAATTAAAAGATAGGCACCACCTACTCTCTGAATTAAAATAGTTTTGAAAATAAATATTGCGGATATAAAAAATATTTAATTTTTATTATTTTTTTAAGATAAAAAGCAGCAGTGATTTTAATTGAGATCTATAAGAACAATATACTTCTTTGAAAATAAAAATATAATAGCTACTTGTAAAATAAAATTATGAATAAATAAAAAAAAATACTTTAAGAATATTAAGCTTCCTGGTTTTTAAAATTTAGTATAAATATTAAATTAAATTAAATGTTAAATCAAAATATCAGAGTGTATATTGATCTAAATGATTTTTATGATACCTAAAAGTAGAGTCCATAGTGTCTAAAAATAAAAATAATTAAATTATTAAAGAAATAAAAAAAAGGAGAATTTTATTAAATTTTGATTTGAAAAACAAGATCAAGGTAAGTGTTAGTTAAACTTAAATTTTATTAGAATAAATTAAAATAAATAATTTATAAATTTTTGTTAAAATAAAATTAAATTGTTTCGATTAATTGCATTTAATTACGCTGTTCTTAACAATTAAGATTGTATTATGATTGTGACAATTAATTGAATACAATGTCAGAATTTATTTCAGTAAACAAAATAAGATAACAATCTGAAATACAAACGCTAATCAACCTAAGCGTACTTAGTATTATTACAATTATATGATTTCAAAAAATTTTCTAAATAATTTCAAACAATTTTTGTAAAGCAATGAACAACGTGCAAGAATAAAATCAGGTTTCTTTCACTTAATAAATTATTTTTTTAATATTTTTATATTAATTTCTCATTGAATTTCAATTAATTATTTTAATTTTTCATTTTCAGATTTATGCGTTTATCTTTTAAAAATTAAAATATTGGAATCTATTTAATTTCATTTTCATTAATGTACTGACCACTGCTAAAGTTAATAGAATATATCATTTTTATTCGCGATTTTATCATGCAAAAAAATTTCATCGCATTAAAATTATCTAAAGATTTTATTATAACGAAACCTTGAAATTTCCTTTTTTTCATTTGCAAAAAAAATATTTAACTTTTATATCAAATTTTTTATTATTAATTGTTATTTAGATTTTTGTACATTAGTTAAGAAGTTCAACTCAAGATTTATTATATTACATATTCTGTTTTTTCCTTAATTAATTTTATTGTCTAATAAACCAACATTTATTATAAAAAATGATTATTTTACGAAAAATGTCATTTTTACTACAAAAATTTCCTTATATATAAATCAATCATTAAGATTTTTCAAGAATTAAGATTACGAATATCTTTTCAATAACACGTTTTATTTTATTTCTTTCCTACCTTTATATATTGCTATTAGCTATTCTTTATACACATTCATTATCTAAGATGGTCAGAACATTGATAAAGCTATAAAAGTAAAACGAAACCTGCTTATCTCTTTGTTAATTGTTAGTAATTTTTATTACTTGTTTGGCTATATAGAATATATTTTTAATAGCAATATTTTTCTTGTACTTTCTACTGATTTTATATTTTAATATATGTATGTAGGTTAACTAAGATAATATTGTAAAAAATGTGTTAAAATATAGATAAAGGCCATCTGGGTTTATTAATATTATATGCGGTGTATATGTTTATATAGGTAAATTTTTATATTATATTAATAATGAGGCTATAATTAATATTTATTGCAACGAATATTAATAGGAAGGAAGATAACATTAGAGAAAGTGAAAATGTGTAAATTTATTTCAATAGATTAGAGAAAGATTGAGGGAGGAGGGGAGAAGAAGGATATAGTTTACTCTTATTTTTCCATGAAAATCATAACCTATAATATTACTTTTCTTATGGGATTCTTAATTTTGAAAGAAAAATCAAATCTTGCTTAATTCTTCTTATTATGTTTTAAAAAATTTTTCAGTTAAATTTACGTATATATAAAACGAACGATACCAAAAAGGACTTAAATCTTGAGAAATTTGGAAAAAAATCTATTAGAAATAGATAAACTAATAATGATCAAGTATGGCTCATAGAACAAATTATGTAGAATAAATTTAAAATTAACAACAAATTTATAATACTAGTTTGTTTTAAATATAATTGGTATAGAAATCAAATTGCTTATAAATATAAATTAGTGTTGTTGTCCCCAATCGGCGAAATTGATACGATTACCATTAAATACAATAAAATATAACATTAGAAATTCTACAGGATCAATCTATCCAGGAACTGGTTTTCTATATGAAAGTGGTAATTTTTTTTTCCAATATTCCAAGACCTATGAAAAAGTTAAAATCAAAAATAAGTTTTTCTAGGAAGAATATTTAAAATTACCTACAGGAAATTCGTATGGTACACTTTGAATTGTTTTAAGATTTTTTGGTACAGCTTGGATTGTTGCAGTAAATTTTAAATTTTTCTATCAGTGTCCAGGCAAATTGAATGCTCTGATTATGGTATTGTAGCATTTTATATTCTGCATAGCTCTAGATATATGTACGAATATGCGTCTTCTGTAAATATTAATAAATTTAATAAAAAATAATAATTTTTTTTAAAAAATATAAAACGCCTATACAAATCAACTAAACCGGATTTTATATGAAGAGGAGGAGAGGAGGGGAGTTTTATCCTAAATATTTTATTTATTCAAGAATATTTTTAAGGAACGTTATTCTTATTTTTATACAAAATAATATTAAAATATTAAATTGTCTGACAACATATACAGAAGAAAAATAAAGTCAACACAGGATATATAAAATTAGATTCTTAAATAATATGTATGTATTTACATGTATGTACACAAAATTTGATAATTCAAGCGAAAAGATTAATTTCTTTTTTTATTATTTTGTTATCAAAATAAATTTACCAACATAATTTATGTAATATATTGACAAAACAATTTAAAAACATTAATTCAATTAAGGTCTACTTCTTCTTTTTATTTTAATATTTCTGGATGAGGCCATCCAATATGTGTTAAGTAACATTTAGGAAAAAAAGATAACACTTAAAAAATTATTCTTTAGTTATTTTTTCATTTCTAAAAATACGACTTTTATAATTCAAATTATATTAAGCTAGATTGACATTACATCGACTATAACCATTTTTTATTACATTTTTATAATTCGAACACATTGAAAATTGGTGCGTGGTAAAATGTGCCCTTTTGTGCTCCAAGTCAAATGGTTTAATAGACGTTTTATAGAAGCAGATTTCATAAAATTTTTAATTCAACCACTTTATTTCGAACTAAGCCTTATATTTGTTACAAATTATATTTTAAGGATATACGAGATAGCTAATCTAATGTAAAATTTTAGATGGTTTTTAGAGGAGCACCGATTCCTTGGGTTTAAGTGGTTCATAAGAGAACTTGTGGATAATTTGCTATATTTTTAATATAAAGAATTTGGGATTCTTCAAAGTAAGGAAAAATTGTCCTTAAGAGATGCCGATGAGCCTGTTATTGGAAGTATTAGCGGGCCGAATCCTCTCTTTTATTTCAACCTAATCTAACATAATTTTGCAGCTTTATATGTAAATTGTCTGATAAAATATTTTTTTCTTTAATTTTTCCATTTTTCATTTAAAACAATTCAATTTTAAAGTACAGATTTATTATTTTATTTAAAATTTTTTGTTATTGTTCACTCTGAAACCTTCTCATATATACCTGAATATAAAAATTGTAGATTTTTTTTTTGTTTATCTTTTTCATCTCCTTAAATTTTTCCTAGGTTACTTAATATTTTTGATTTAAATTCGTAAAAAAAACAAAATAATAAGATAATCTCTTTAGTTAATCTAAGTATATATACTGTAAATATGTATGTACAGTTATAAATATTAAAAGTCGAATAATATACATTGATACAAACGAAATATGTAATTTTCCGCCTACATATATGCAAATACATAGATAATTGTTTTGTTATTTGAATCTCTTTGTTTCAGCCCACAAAATTATTACCTATCGTTATTTATATTGATAACCTATCCTATGACTAATTTCTTACCTATATCAGTGAGGGTAGTAAAAATTTTACAACTTTTTTTTTTCGGTTATCTTACTATATAAAAATATAAAAATAGAAAGGGACTCCAAGATTCTATAGGTTTGGGCTATGCTATATTATATAGTTTACATTTATATGAACATTCTTCTATATATTTTTAGATTTATCTCTTAATATTGTTTTAACTACGATAAAAAAAAATTATGAAAATGATAAATATATTGTACCTTTTGACTATAGGACTATAGGACACAAATATTTTACCAAAAAGTAATAAGATTTTGGATTTTAAAAGTAGATTTCATAATATTGTTATATCGTGAAATTCGAGCCATTGTGCGGGTAATAAATAATTGAGGTTCTTAAAAGTATGCAATGTTTGATAATTTGATTTTAATTAATTCTATAGTCTTAGTAAATAAAGGGATTTTCGATAATTCATCTGTTACAACTATGCAGAGTATGTTACAAATCTGCAAAGTAAAATATTCAATTTCTGCAGACATTTTTGCAGAAAGTGTACGTCAAAATACTAATAGAAGAACAGTTAGAATTTATTTGATTAAGAACAGTTCAATACATCTTTACCGATGATCCCCAAAAATTTAAGGTAATTGCCGAGTTCTATATGATTTTTGTACTTTGTTTTTGACTTATTTTTCTCAATTTTTGACAACGCCACTTATACATTCAAAGAAAATTTGTCGTATAATAGTTTATTGATTTTAAAATTCTTAATACACTTCTAAAAAGAATTGAAGAAGATCTTAGATATTATGCCCTTAAAACAAGGTTTTTTAAATCAAAACAAAATAAAAATAGAGCATTACAGATGACGAGGACAGAAAAACAAAAAAAAGAAATGAGATGGCACAAAATTGCTTCCGTCTCCTCTTTTCCGTAAATTTTATTGTTTTTTTTTTTGCTTTGTTTACAAAATTTTTCCTTTTTTTTTGTTTTTCTTTTGTTTCGTTAATTTCATACCTTTTGTCATTACAATCTTTGCCCGTAAAGTGATTCATTTGTCACAATAATTTTCTATTTTCTGGTGGATCTTTTCTTTCCTAAAAATACATAGTCTCTATAATATTTTACACAATTGAATATTCAACCATACATTTGAAGAATTTGTCTTAATACACAAACATTCATACATATGGACAAAATTTATTTATAAATGAGATTTTCTCTTGTGTTGTTAGTATTTCATATTCCTTAAAGTTAGTTGAGAGAAAACGGTCTGGAACAATTTTTTTTATATTGTTGCCCTTTTTATTTTATAATTGCTAAAATATACATACATATATGTGTGTGTGTACATGTTTATAAACTTGCCCTGCTTACAATGTTCAGTTATATATTTTATACAACAATATTCTCGATATTGG